AACCTGAACTGTTGTCATTTCCTGAATCTTTTCATCTTTTTTCTTCGAATAAAATAAAATAAATCTTTGAAACAAACTGGCTTAACTAACAATGACAAATTTTGTAAATCCAATTTGTTTTTGTAAAAACTTTTAAAAGAAGAAAACTAATTTCCTGTCCTTTAAAGGTTGTTTTTCATCTTTTGCCTTGTTTTTATTTTTACGAAGCTCAGAGTCTAAAAAATGCAGATGAAGCATGAAAAGTCAAACTCAGTCCGTCCTGTTGGCAGTCTGTTTAATGTGAACTAATTGTTGTAAATCTGTTATATCTCAGCAGCTGCTGAGCGTGGTTGCTGTCAGTTTATATGTAGTGGAGGATTGTGGGCAGAAACAGCTGGATAGGCCAAATAGTTTTTAATTCCTTTGGGAAGTGTTTGAATAGGTTCAGTGTTCTCTGAATCTCCTTCCTCTGCCCTGCGGTTTGATTGATCTCTCTGATAATCTCTGAACTTTACCAGTCTGTAACATCTCTACACACCTGGCTGAACATTACATATTCTCTAATCCTGTGTGCAGTTTGGACTGAAGCATCTCAGAGTTTTTGTCCACAGTTTAAATGACAAACTAACCTTGACTGATGAGAAATGTTTGACTCTTTGGCACGATGGCTCAGTGGTCAGCACCGACACCCCACAGCAAGAAGGTCCTGGGATCGATCCCCGGTTTGGACCTGGGGTCTTTCTGTGCGGAGTTTGCATGTTCTCTTCGTGCTTGTGTGGGTTTTCTCCGGGTACTCGGGTGTTCCCCCACCCCACAAAACATGTACCAATATGTTACCTTCAGGCCCAGGCCTCCCTTGAAAAAGAGATCTGAGATCTCAATGGGACTTGCCTGGTAAAATAACAGTAAATAAAATAAAATAAAAATTAAGCTGGGAATCTTAAAGCACTTCAGATTGTAGTTTGTTATTCAGATTGCTGTAATGTGATTTAAAAACAGTTATTGTTGTACTTTGGTTATCTCGAAATTTAAATAATAATTGTTTGTTTTAAATAAATTAACACTGATTTAAATGTTCATGCATAATCAACATGTACAATAACATATGACCAAAGAATATTAATCACATGCTGCCAATCAACAATTAGCATAAAGCTAATTTAATAAGGAAACCCCTATTGCAAAGCTAATGTGATTAGCATTGTGTTTCTCACTGTAAGTTTAAACAGGAATCAAATTTTTCAAAGTCATTATTGAAGACAAAGAAAATATAAAGATATGGAAAGACACAGCTTTAGTAACCTGTGTTTATTCTATGAAGCTACAGATTCTGACTGCTGACTCTCTGCACAGATAAACAAAATCCTTTTTTGTCATTTGAAAGTTGATTAAGGATCTTCAATGACTGTGATGCATTTAAAACCGTTTACTCTGATCCCCAGATGATAAAAATGGTCTCTATTTATACAGTAGCTTTATATTCATTCATCCATCCATCCATCTTCTGCTTATCCGGGGTCGGGTCGGGGGGGCAGCAGCCTAAGCAGAGAGACCCAGACTTCTCTCTCCCCAGCCACTTGGACCAGCTCCTCTAGGGCAGTGGTTCCCAAAGTTGGGGTCGGGACCCATAGTGGGGTCCTGAAACATCAAGGTGGGGTCCTGAAAAGATTTTCTAAATTAATTACATTTTTGCCTTAGTTGCCTAAAATGTATTAATGTTAGAATAATAAATATAGTTACTATGCCCATATTTAGTTGACTTGATATAAATGTTTATCATCCAAAAATAGTTGTGGGCACAGGTCTCTGCTACTGTTATTTTGTGGGTCAAAAGCTGTTTGGGAACCACTGCACTTCAGAAATCAATTTAAAGGGWAATAAAATAATTGGTGATGTAATATTTTCCCTATAATTATTACAAAAACACAAAATAAGTATAAATAAGTATTTGTATTTGTGTAGCCTTTGTTTTAAGGCTTATTAACAAAGTTTGTGTACTCAGACCAGTAATATTTGGGGTCACAAGTTTTTGCCACGAATATTTTGTGGGTCAGAAGATAAAAAGTTTGGGAACCACTGGTCTAGGGGAATCCCAAGGCGTTCCCAGGCCAGCTGAGAAACATAGTCCCTCCAGCATGCCCTGGGTCTTCCTCTGGGTCTCCTCCCAGTGGGACATGCCCAGAACACCTCACCAGGGAGGCGTCCAGGAGGCATCCTAACCAGATGAGCCACCTCAACTGACTCCTCTCGACGTGGAGGAGCAGCGGCTCTACTCTGAGTCCCTCCTGGAGGACTGAGCTTCTCACCCTATCTCTAAGGGAGAGCCCAGCCACCCTGCAGAGGAAACTCATTTCAGCCGCTTGTATCTGCGATCTTGTTTTTTTGGTCACTACCCAAAGCTCGTGACCATAGATGAGGGTAGGAACGTAGACCGATCAGTAAATCAAAAGCTTTGCTTTCTGGCTCAGCTCTGGCTTTACCACGACAGATCAGTACAGCGACAATCTGCCTATCGATCTCCTGCCCCATTCTTCCCTCATCCTTAAAAAAGACACGAGATACATAAAAGTTATGAACAGAATCATGACAAAGGACAACTTGGCGCATTCCAACTCTCACTGGAAACAAGCCCAACTTACTGCCAGCAATGCAGACTAAGCTCCAACACTGGTTTTACAGGGACCTAACAGTCCATATCTAAGGGCCTGGCACCCCGTAGTACCCCCTTCGTTTTATTAAAGATTCATTGTGTAAATGTGCTGTTCTTCTCCGTAAACATTTCTCTGTGGATATTTTCTATTCAGGTTTGAATCCCAGTCAGCGTCAAGGAGTGGAGGACCTGATCTCTGCAACTCCGAGTCGATTTGACCACTCCACTCTGTTCAGAGTCTTACAGAAAAAGACCCTGCAGCACCGCATGAATGACTCCTTCTCCTGCCTGGTAGGCTGCCATTTTTACCTAATTACACCTTAATAGACCAAATAAGTTCATTGAACATTAAAACTTCTTATCTTTGTTGAAAAAAATACACTCAAATTAAATATTATTGTGCTTGTTACATAATACACATTTTATGTCCAGCTGAGATTTTTTTTTGTTTTACCAATATTTTATTGATATAGGACTTAGTGCACTTTGAATAATTTTCTTGTCTATTAGATGAGCTGTGTTGTTAAAGGTTATTCTCTAAGCTGAATTAGATAGAGAACTTGCAGTTTATGTGTGTGTGTGTGTGTGTGTGTGTGTGTGTGTGTGTGTGTGTGTGTGTGTGTGTGTGTGTGTGTGTGTGT